ACGCTCCATTGATCTATGATAATCTACGAGCTACCCATTGCCATCCTTCATTGGTCCCATATTAGTGTGCCGCTTAACAACACACGCTCCACTAATGACCAACAAGGTGTAATGTGCAATTTCATGGATTAGCACCAACTTCACATTTTCCTAAAGTAACTAAGATTTCGGAATTTTATAAAAGCGTTTAGTTACTTCGTATTTTATTATACTTATAATGGAAGGTTGTGTCATATCCTACCCGTTCAGCTAACGACCCTCCACTAGTCAAGAGTGCGGTGGGTGAGAGTGGATACCCAATGACGGTCATTTTACATGCCACTTCCTTAAACACCCCTTGTAGACAAGCTTCGTGAATGAGGCCTACTAACGGTAAGACTGACTTTTTACTTATACATATATAATATATTAACTTTTAATTTTATATACTATAAGGGTGTATTTTATACATTTAAAATACTAGGTGGTTTAAATTATAAATAAATTATACTTTTAATTTGATTAAACTTAAACCATATTATTATGGATTTATTAATTTTTCTTTTAATTAAACACTTAATTAATTTAATAAAACCATAATGGTGTAATTTGAACTATTCAAAATACTAGGGTTTTAGAATTTAATATTTCAAAATTAAAACTTTTAATTAAATTTTAAATTCCAAAACTTGAGGACAAGTTTTGAAACCTTTCAAAAATGTTAGGGTTTAACTATTTAAATTTCAAAAACTAAAACTTTTAATTCCAAATTTAAACTATAAAACCTAAAGGGTGTAATTTAAAACTTTTTCAAAATTACTAGGTCAAATATTTGAATCATAATACTCCTATATTATCCATATTTAACCAAATCCACCAATTTTGATAAGGATATCCATACCAAACTGAAAAAAATCGAATTTTGGCAAGAAAAACGAGTTTTGGTAGTTATCTTCATCAAAATCTAGTAAGAAAATCGAAATTCCCGGCACTTGAGCTCTGGACTCGTCGAGTCCACTATGGAACTCGTCGAGTCCATACATGGACTCGGCGAGTCAGCCAGTCAGACAACAAAAAAATTTCGATTTTCTGATCTTTGGCAGTTCACATTTGCATCTATTCAATAGAAAAACGACATGGGCTCTGATACAACTGTTGGGTTATGGGCATAACAGTATTCCTATGGTGTACATGCAACCCTAATTGCTTTGATCTAGGTTTTTCTAATTTGAACATACAACATTGAATACCAAAGCAATAACCCTATAACTAGCATACATATTACGAAAATCACATATGATTAGGGTTAGAATCTTTACCTCTCTTGTTATGTAGTAATAACAAGTTAATCCTTCTTGATCTTGACTTCTGAAAGCCTAGTTCCCCAAGTGTTGCACCTCTAATGGAGTCACAAACACTGAATGCAACAAGATGACTTGGGAGAGAAGAAGAATTCGGCCAAGGCTTCCTAGAAACTCATAGGGGCGAATTCCACTAGCAAAGGGGTATTTATAGTTGTGTGGGCTGCTAGGGTTTTAGGTGGAAACCCTAATTGTCTACTTAGGCCTTAAGCAATCCATGGAACCCTTCTAGAAGGCCCATAGGACGAAATCTTTATGGGCTTCCCATAGATTTCGTCCAACCCCTTCTATTAGGAGTCCATAACCCAACTTGCAATTATCTGATAATTACAATATCAGTCCCCTTTATTTAATCAGTCTCTTTTGGTCACCAAATTAATTTTTGATCAATACTAATTTAACAATATGATTTCCAAATAATATATTAATCTTGTAATATATTAATAAAACCATTTTGAGTACTAATTTATTACTCATTTAATAAATTCTACTATCTCTCCTCTTTTCATCCTATCAAGTTGCATGAGTGAAGGCAATCCAAAAGGACCATGCTCATAATCGGGTCAAGTACATACCAATAATAGTTATGGGCTTAGACACCTAATCCAACAAAAATATGCTACAACACTCCTATCAAAACATACAAGGTCCAACCTTAGAATACACACTAAATCCAACAATCTTGACCAAAAGTCAACCATATCAAAAAAGTCAACAGCTGAAAAATATCAACCATTGAGCCTCACGTCGTGACCAGCCCTTGGTCACGTCGTGAGAACATGCTCAACCCGATTCCAACTCCTCTTGCTCCACCTCAGCCAACTCGGTCACGGACAACCCACTTAACAAACATCACGGCGTGAACCCTCCTTAGTCATGTCGTGAGCATAACAAGACAATATAGTCACAAATTCCTTCTTGGTCACGTCGTGACATCCTCTATGCCACGTTGTGATCGCAGTCTGAAGCAACAACCTAATTGTTTGAGTCCTTATTCCTTAATCTATTAAGTCTTCAACTCCCACTTTCCAGAAAACTTTAAGGGGCTCTAATGGTTAATAAAAATGCCAACTTTATAGACATGCATGCTCCATGCATGTCCTCTATCCAATCTTGGTCAAATGCCAATAAAATGGCCCAAAACTCATGCAAGGGTTCAATACACAACCAAATTTCTAGATCTGAACCATATAACACTCAAATGGCTTCAAGGATCCATAAAGTCACCAACTTTATGAAATCCCATCACTTCAACTTGCACAAACTTGAAGATAAAGGGACAATGACTTAGATCTATCAACCTAGAAGCATAAAGTTTGAATCTTTGACCCTTACAAAGGTCCAGAAAAGTGCACAAAAAGATGATGATGAGGTTTCTTTGCTGGATCAACACTCTAGAACTCTTCTTCTTCTTCTTGAAGTTACCAAAAGCACTAAAAATGAGCCAAGAACCACCAAGAGGGATTAGGGTTAGGGTTTTCTGAGGTTTGAGGGTGATGAAGGCTGATAATGATCCCTAAAATCGAGTTAATAAGGTTTAAATATGAAGAAAAACCCTAAAATATCATGGGCTTGGGCTGCAGCCTTCTTCACGTCGTGACCACCTATGTGATATGTCGTGACCATAGTCCATATACGCGTTTTCACTTTCGCTTGTCACGTCATGACACCCAATTTTTCCCAAAAACCAAGTTTTTGACTGCATAATGCCCTAAACCGATCCATTCAGGAAAACGGGTGTTACATTTGGCCCCTCCTCAAGTTTTACCACATTAGTTTATAGAGTTGGCACTTTTGGTCCCCAAACTTCGATATTCTCTACTGTTAGCCATAAAGGTTTCAAGAGTTTGCCACTTTTGGTCCTTGACATTTACCAAATGTGACACCTCAAGTTTTTACCGCATTAGTTTGTGGAGCTGATGCTTTTGGTCCCCCCCACCTTTGATATTCTACTATACGACCCTATTTTCTTCAAAACATTATACACACATAATAGAAACAACAAACGAGAAAAAAAAAAAACAAAAGAAACACCGAAATATGTAAACATGAAAAAAAATCGGTCCGTCGCGAAACGCGGATCAACTTCTAGTTTTATGATGAAAACTGAATCTTTATGTAATCTAATCTTATACTACCAAAAAACTTTCTTTGTAAGTAGAAGCTTTTGATAAAAACCATTTTTTTGCCGCATCGTTTTGTATGTAAAGACTTTTGATCCACATCGTTTTGTATGTAAAGACTTTTGATGAAAACCAATTTATATGCCACATCTTTTGTATCTAAAAGCTTTTGATGAAAAACATTTTGTTCGCCTTATTTAGAAATGCCATATTTAGAAATGTGGTACTTTGGGTTATATGGAATAGAAATATGAAATTATATGTATGTATATGCACATGTTTTTTTCGAACGACAAACACACACCCTTTAATAATACTCATAATTCTATATATTTGTCGACGACAAGATTTGAACACTCGACCACTTCGGAAAGAACACATTTCATACACACCTGTATATGTATATTTAGCTTATTTAATGTAGCAAAAATGTGGTACTTTGTGAGTTAATACCATTGTTGAGTTATACAAATATACTTTGTCTGTTATTTAATAACATTATAACAGGTGAAGCAATTTTTTTTTCATAACATTTTATTTACTATTACTTCAATATCAATATTAATGTACTTTATTTGGTATGAAAATTCGAAAAAAATATTGAATATGTATTGATTTTTGAAAATAGTGGTGCATGCTGGGAATGAATAACAATAGACATAAATACAATCGGGAAGAAAAAACATAACCGTTTCATGAAAAAAAAATACTATATTGGTAGCCACTTGTCACACAATGTTGGACAAAAAAACCAAATTATCTTGTTAAAAGCTATATATTATGACAAAATTAAAAAGTACAATAACTAAACTGAGACAAAATGGAACTAAAACGGGATATGAGCAATAATTCGATGAAATATTTCAAAATATTTCATTTTTTTTTACTGCAAAAGATTAAACGTTATCTATATACAAACATGGAATCAAAATATGATAGAATATTACTGATAACATTAATAAGTTTTAAATAAAACTTTGCTTATTTAGAAAGTTTTGAGAACAAATAAAAAAAAAATACTAAAGCATTGGTTGTGGGTGTATGGTGATGTTAGAATGATGTAATCCACCTTTTAAATAAATTGGGGGAATATTTTTAAAATTTTGTATTTTGCTTCAAATTAGGGCAAAGTTTGATTTAGATAAAAACAAGAAAACGACTCCCAAAAAGGAAGATCCTCAGCCGCCCAAGGCCCGGCTGCTCAGGCGGTGCGGTGGGCAGTGGACCGGCTCAACCACCCAATAGTAAAAACGGGCGGTGGTCACGTCATCTCAGCCCTCATCTTTCCTCCCCTTTTGTTTTTACTCATGGGTGCGTACTTTATGCACGGCGCAGGTTAGCCTCCCCCACCACCTCACCGCTAGATCCCCAAGTCAGCCGCTTCCCTCTCTCCTCCTCCACCCTACTTTTATCCATTCATACCTAATCGCCCATCCTTCATTATGCCTCCTCCTCCTCCTCCTCCTCCTCCCACCACCACCACCAACCATCGCCTCTCTGTTTCTATTTTTTCCTCCTCCGTATCACCGCCATCGCTATGGCCAGCTCGAACTCGCCTTCTTCCCAACAAGAACCAACAAACCCACTCGCCGTTCAACAATCAAAATCAACCGCCGCTTCACGCCGCATACCTCCTCCCTGCTGGTCGCACGACGAGACTGTTGCGTTAATTGATGCGTATCGTGATAAGTGGTATTCTCTCCGGCGAGGAAACCTACGCGCCTCCCACTGGCAGGAGGTCGCCGACGGCGTCACCGCTCGGTGTCCGTTAGGTAACCCGCCGAAAACCTCGGTTCAGTGTCGTCATAAGATGGAGAAGCTTAGAAAACGTTATCGCGCGGAGATCCAACGGATCGGAAACAACCCAGGTGGCCATCGGTATCCGTCTTCGTGGGTTCACTTTAAACGAATGGATTCGATGGAATTAGGGTCGTCTCCTTCAGATCCGAGTCTTCAAGACGAAGAGGAAGAAGATGGAGTAGGCGATGAAAACGAAGACGATTTGTTGTTATATCCTAGAGGAATCAAACAAGCCATCGCTCTCCCTCTCAATCGACGTTATCAGAGCTCGATTGGTAACGGCGTTGCCGGAAACGGTGTTCGGATTAAAATCCCAAATCTCGCCGGCGTCCCACCACCACAACCTTTAAACGTATACAACAGTAATATATCAATGGATGATTACCCACCGCCTATGAACCCACATTACGGGTCAGGTAAGGGCTCGAGAGATGGATACATGAAGGAAGCTTTTGGAAGTGAGATGAACAGAAAACATGGCGGCGGCGGTGGTGGAGGGATGAAGAGGAGGAAGGACATGGAGAACAGTGAGAGTCATCTGATGGATGAAATGGTGGCAGCGATTCAGAAGTTAGGAGATGGGTTTGCGAAGGTGGAGAGGATGAAGATGGACATGGCAAGAGAGCTTGAATCCATGCGAATGAAAATGGAGATGAAAAGAACTGAAATGATCCTGGAATCACAGCAGAAGCTTGTGGATTCATTTGCAAAAACAGTTATGGAGAAGAAGAACAAGAAGATCAAAAGAATGCCCACACCAGAATCATGAAACAAGAGCTTCGTAACTTCGTTTTATATCTCTAGGTCAGTAAGAACATGTATTTTCATTGAATTTGTGTTCAGATCCTTTTAATTCTTATTTTTTTTTTTTTTTTTTTAATAATATGTTCTAGGAGTAGTGTAGTAGTAGCAGAAGTATCATGTTTTCTTATGCAATGGAAATGGTAGCTCTTTATCATGCAAATGACTTGTTTTGATCTCTATTTCCTTAATTCTTGTTGATTACAAAAGGTAAATCAATTACTTATTACATATTACAAAAACATATTGCAAACGACTATTTTAATTGATAAGAAAACAATAACCAATAAAAAAATGAAACTACCTACAAATGTAAGTAACTTGTTAGTTGTTCCTATGGCTAACGTAAGTAGAATGCTAGAAATTGACTGTTGGAACTTTTTGGATTTAAAGTAAAAGTAGAATTCTATAAAAATGAAAGTTGTTAAAAGAGGTTAATGTTGTAAAATGATATAAATTGAAAATAAAATACATTTTGACAACTTTTTGTAGTCTTTGATCCAACTCAACTACCTATGCAAAACCAAAATTTTGTAAAGCCTATGAAATTAAAGTAGAATGCTATGAATATGATAAAGGTAATTTCTTTTTCCTTTAAAGTAAAAAGTTATAACTTGTTTATAGCATTCTACACCTTCATCATGATAAAAATGACTGCATGTAATTTTTTTTCCCTTGAAGCGCGGATGCCAAGGATATGGTGTTTGAGATTTCATTTTGAACTTAAAAAGACCTTTTAGGCAAAATGACTTATTGATTTATATCGGTGAAAAAAAAGTTTTTAAAAGAAATGTTTGGATTAACTTTTATGGTAAGAAAAGTCAATAAGTTGTCTTTTACCAACCTAAAAAGTTTTAAGTAGTTTTGCCAAACACTTTTTATGACTTATTGACTTTTCAAAAAGCAAATAAGTTGTTTTTAGATGAAATACTAAACATCCCGGAAGTTCCATGTATTTTGCATTTAAAATGATAGTAGAACTAGTGATGTGTCCCAAGCTCCGCATGGGTTAGAAGGGTTTTGGTGTTTTTTTTTTTTAATAGATTTTCACTATATACTTGTATTTTTAAATCCACACTACCAGCACGGATAAATAGAACAAAAGATAAATAGAACAAATTCTATCAAAAGGCTCAATATATTGATTCTAGACACTTAAAATCTTGTAAACAAAAAACAACAATAATGACGAAATTACCCCTCGACAACCTCAACTACTCTTTATTTATCATAATTTCCCGTAGTACAAAAATGTGAAGATTTAGAAAACTAAATGCCAATGTTTGATGTTACCAAAATGATATAAATGGAAGTATGTTGCTATTACTTTCCACTTCTCTTTTTTTAATGTAGTTTGTAACCTTGTACTCCTTTTTATAATCCCTTTTGAACCTACAATTCAAAAACAATGATGATAAGGAAGAAGATAAGTTACAAAAGAACCCTATTTACAGTGAATTCACACCAAGCGAATTTTAGGCATTTTACAAACACTCAAAAACACTTATCCACACAATGCATACTTACTAACCGGGAAACAGTTGGAAGGATAGTTTTCTTAAATCACTATCCACATCCTAGTATCAAAAATGCACAAAAATCACGTTAATTGTATCTTCATAAAAAACAGAAAAATGTAATTTTGTAGATAGATATATATTACCTGTGGATCCTGGATAGCAAGTAGTGATCGTCTGTATCGGTGAACTTTGAGAACCAAGGAATGTAAACCCAAAAAAAGAAAAAAGAAAAAAGGGAAGATTTTGTTAGCCTTTGCACATTTTAGAAGAAAAAGGTGCCTCCATCACTTATCCCATATTTCAATTTCGTGTAGAAGCGCTTGGATCTTTTTGAAACATCCAAAAACACTACACCCACCATTACCAAAAGAATAAATTAAAAATTAAAAATGAAATATGGAAGAACACAAATAGAAGTTGGATTTTTAGGAATCCCAGGGATAACAAATTTCTCTTATTTGAGAACCAAAATGAAGGGTTATTCTAACCTGTAAAAATAAACCATTAATCTCTTAAGAACCGTATGTAATATTTTTGCAAAATGTTAATTAAAATTGCAAAAGAACTTACTTGGATGTAATATTTTTACTTATAAGTGATATTTTACCAACACAATCCCGTAACAAAACAAAAGTGAACACATCAGTTTTTGATCCTTCTTCTTGCAACATGTAAGGAGAACATACCTGAACATAATCATTTTTACAGTAAGTTTTTTTTAGTACTGAAATGGTTGAATTGATTTGATATCAGTAGGAGAAAGTTGCAGATGAAAGACGGTTGAGTTGTGGGCATCGTTAAATCCCGAAATTAGTGGAGAAGCAAGAAATTAGTTTACCCGAGCTCACCATCACTACCATTAAACTTAAAAAAAAAAAGTTTCAATAACAAATCGGTTGGTTTGAAATTTCAATAGTAAACCGCATCAACTATAATAGAAATTGAGAGTGAAGGACCTATATCCCATAAGATAGAGCTCCAAAATAAAAGGCACATTCAACCCATGTTCTTAAATTAAATAAAAAATCTCAAATACAATACCATAATAGGATCATACTTTTGAACAAAAAAAAAAAAATTACAGTGTAAATTTACCGCCATTAAATATCGTCAGCTCCACCAACAACGGGGCTAACCAACTTTTAAGGGGTTCCATACTCTATACTCAATTGGTATCATAGAAAAAACACTCTAAAATCATAACAGGTCCAGCAAGCATCATTTTGATATAACGATATGAATAAACATATTCCAAAACTCAATTTTATTAGCCTGCATTTCAAGTAACAACCAAATGAATCATAATGTTATAAATAACAAATCAAACTATCAAGTAAAAGGACTTACCATAAGATAAACTTGGTAAAAGATATTGTATATCATTATTCCGATGCGTATACATGATATGTATATATAGTAGACACATTTACAATTTAGACCCTATATTATTATTATCGTCTAATATTCCCCCGCAAGCTAAGGCCGGGTAGCGAGCCGCAGCTTGGACCGTAACTGTAGAAAACGGTGTGAAGACAATGGCTTTGTGAAGAAGTCAGCAATCTGGTCATTTGTGTTTATGAACTGAACTGCAAGGTTTCCTTGAGCTAGTTACTCACGAACAAAGTGGAAGTCGACTTCAACATGTTTGGTGCGCGCATGAAATACTGGATTGGCTGAAAGATAAGTAGCACCTAAGTTATCACACCATAATGTAGGAACTGTTTTGAGAGGGACACAAAGTTCTCCCAGAAGAGCTTGAAGCCAAGTAAGTTCAGCCACCGTATCTGCTAGAGCCTTGTACTCGGATTCTGTTGATGACCGAGAGACAGTGCGTTGTTTGCGAGCAGACCAGGAAACAAGGTTAGAACCAAGATATATCGCATAGCCCACGGTGGATCGACGGTCATCTAGACAGCCAGCCCAGTCCGCATCAGAGTAGGCTGTGATGAATGGACCAGTAGTATCAGTGTAAGCATGTAGCTTTAGATCAGAGTGACATTGTAGTTTCAGACCATAAGACACTGTTCCTTGTAAATAGCGTAGTATACGCTTGACAGCAGACCAATGATTTTTTGTGGGCGAATGCATAAATTGACCTTGTAAGCTGCGGCATAATTAGGGTTGTATTTGGGAGCTCTGATACCAAGATAAACTTGGTAAAAGATATTGTATATCATTATTCAGATGCGTACGTATGCATATGTATATATAGTAGACACATTTACACTTTAGACCCTATATTATTATTATCGTCTAATACCATATCATTTAAATTTTGCTCTTAAGATAACACAGGAAGAGAGAATAAATACCTGTAACAGGGAATTACTCCCATATAAATTGCACAGGCCTGCACTCATGCGTAACTGAACTCTTTCTTCTGCAAAAGAAAGCTCATATAAGTGCACGACGACTTCTAAGATATAAATAAACAACTGGTGTGTAAATCGCGAATAATAAGGAAGATTATGTCTAACCCAAGCATTACCATATTGATATCGATGAGAGAGGAAAGACTAAGGGTTACAATCTTGAAACAAATGACCATTTTCAATAAAAATTCCTCCTGTGACAATGATCAATTGTGCACATCCTTTTTGGATGGTCGGCCTCGCTGCTCGGAGAAACCCAGTGCTGACCACACTGAGAGACACGAAAGCGTAACGCCAGTTGGCGAAGTGGCGTTAAGCATCCCTAGCGGTACGAAAAGAGAGGTCGTGATGATATCATCTACGTCCGTACCGCTCCTCGTAGAGTAGATCGGAAAAAAAAAAACTAAACAACAAATGAGTTAGTAGATACATACATGCTTTAGGAGTATTTTTTTTTATCGTAATCAGAGATGAAGTCGGAGATGTACAGAATGAGAAACAACGAACCCGGGTTAGAGGGTTAGGGCACAAAAGCTTGTAAAGATCGAAATCATCTGCTTAGAAACCCACAAACAGAATGTTTTTTACAAACACAACCACCCAAAAACCCAGAAACGAAAAATGGGTGGTAGTGCGCCGTTGGAAGAGTTGAAGTTCGCAGAGGTAGATGAACCGTTAGCAGTATCATATCCAAAACCACACATCCGGAAGGCAGCCTTGCAATCGTTGTGATTCAACGGTTTGAGGAGGTTAGGTTGGAGGTGAGAGGCGACACAAAAATTGCAGAAGCAGAAGGCACAAAAGAAGCTTTTCACTTCCCGATCCTTCTACCGCTCACTCCATCTTCCCTTGCCGCTCCACCTACCGACTGCTTCTTCTTCTACTCTGATTTCCATCTGAACCGATTTCTCCCCACACTCCTCCAAACCACCGCCGTCGAAAGCCACCGGTGAAGGAGGAAGTTTGTTTGTGAGAAGCAATCTATTGGAGGTTTCTGGAAAGAATGAAAAACGGGAGAAAAAAAAACAGGATACGATCGGTATATGAAAGAAATCGAGGCGGTGATGACAAAACCT